TTGAATATTTTATATAGATCCCAAACTTTGACCTAAAATGTCTATTATGTAATTAAAAACTGCTTCAAAAGATAATTCATGTTTCACCTTTTTTTTTAAAGATCGAATGATGGGCAAATATTTTTATTCTTTGCTGAAGGTACTCAAACACACCCGATTCCTTCTAAGTTCAAGAACAAGAACATTGCAATTTCACAAGCCTGTTCTCCGAGACCCGGGCTATCAGGGGAAACTTTTTCATTGGAAATGGAAGGACAACGCATCGTTGCCCCTAGACTGGAAAAATGATCTTCGGAATCTTCTCAAGAACGAAATGTTGGTCATTTTATTAATGAAAAGTTCACACTTGAAAATTCCCTTATTGAATGTATAAACAAATATAAATACTTAGGTGTAATTTTAACCTCATGTGGATCCTTCAAAGAAGCAAGATCTCGTCTATATTATAAAGCGTTTAAAGCTTCTTTCAAATTATACAAAGACCTAAAAGCTATTCATCCTCCCATCAAAACACTCCTACATCTTTTTGATCACATGATAAAGCCTATTGCATTATATGGCTGTGAAATTTGGGGAACCCTTACAGCACGCATACAAGATAAAAACAAACATTTATACGATATTTTTAAAGAGTGGGAGGCAGAAAGCTTAAATATCAAATTTTGTAAATATCTATTGGAAGCTGGGAAAAAAAAGTACTAATATTGCAATAATTTCTGAACTGGAAAGATACCCTATGTATTTTTCAATTATTCAAAACATCTTATTATACTGGCATAGGTTGCAATCAAGTCCAGAATCTTCCCTGTTACATAAAGCATATACAGAAAATATTAACCTTAGTCAAGGCAATATTAACTGCTGGTACAAAAATGTAATTTATTTTAGTAAGAAAATTAATCTCTCATTACCAGAATGTAAAACATACAAAAACACATTTTTAAAAAAACAAGTTAAGAAACATTTGAAAAAACACTTCCTACAATATTGGAAAATGAAACGTGAAGAGGGACTGGAATCTGGAAAACTTACTACTTATTTTATGCTTAAAGAAAATTTTACAATGGAAAAATATATTTACATTAAATCTCATGAAATAAGAAAATCCATTTGCAGATTTAGAATAAGTGCTCATGACCTAAGAATTGAAAAAGGCAGATATGAATCTGTAAAAAATAATGCTGGTCAAAGAATTCCCTTAGATAGAAACAAAAGAATATGTTTAATGTGTAACCAAAACAATATAGAAGATGAATATCATTTTCTTACTGAATGCCCATTATATACTGAGGAGAGAGATAAATTTTTTCGTGATATCTCATTACTAAACAAAAATTTCATATTATTATCAAAAGGAGACAAATTTCTCTGGTTAATGTCTAATGAAGATAATCTAATTATTACAAAGCTAAGTGAATATCTTGTCAAAGCCTTCAAAATAAGGCATAATGCCATGAGTTTTCATAAATGATGTTATAGACACATATTTATTTGTAAACTGGTATATATGTTTATTGATAATATTGATTTTGATCGCATGCTGATTAACAATTTGGTAACCCCAACTGCTGCATCTACATGTTCAGTTACTTGTAATATTATATCAGATATATACATGTGTGTGTGTGTTTATGTTTGTATATGTTTACTAACCTTTCTTTCAGAACTTTCTATCTTGTCATTGTAAGAAACCTTTATGCCTACTGGGCCCAAAATTGGAAATAAAATTATCGTATCTTATCTTATCTTATCTTATCATTACTAGTATTGTAGCATTGCCTGCAAGTCGCTCATTCAAGTTTGTACAAAATTATGGTGCCCAGAGTTAGGAGAAAAAAAAATTAACGTAAATATTTGTACATGTGTTCACTTTCTGATGACATAGTGTAAATCTAAGTTTGTTCAATTGCATGGCAATGGATTTAGAAAGAAATTTTTCCCGCGGTACACTTTCATTAGTTTTATCATGCAATACCAATGTATTCGTGAGTTCGACAATCAGTGGAGAAAAGTTAGATTCCGTTAAGAAGATTTTGCAGAAGATCTATATCAAATAAAAGTACGCAAGGTTAACCAGGAGTTAAAGCGAAATACCATCACTACTTTAAAAAAAAAATTATAACTTTATGGGTTTTTGTACATATATGAATATGTATGAAATAATATTGTCCAATCTTTTAAACAATCTCAGTTTTGCACAAATTGGTAGAAAAAAGGGATATGTGCGTGTATTTGCTTTGACGCTAATCTGTCCAGAAAAGATCCAAGATTGACAAAGAATGGTTTCAGCACTTCAAAGAAATAACCAAAAGACCTTGAGCTTTTTGAGCACCATTTTGAACTAACCGTTAAATAAATATTAACCCACAAATGGTCACCAAAGCATTACCTCATTATAAGGAATCAATCAGTTTCTTCCCATCAGTTATTCCTTCATGGCACCTGATCCTACCTCTGATGTTTTTGAGGTGAGCGTTTGCTCTGCTCCTATTTTGTATTGTTTAATGGACTTTTGAGCTTGAATACTGTTCGTTCTCTACATATACTTCATTACATTACAGCGGCAGTGTCCGAGAAAGGAATTCTATAGGTTCCCGTATAACGTATGGAAAGAACCATAGATTACGTACTTGCATGTAAATGCCAGCTATAACTTCACGATTAAAACGCTGTCTTTGATTGAAACGAGTGTATAAGCCATTTCTTCCTACTTAAAAAGACAGAAACTAGTATACTCAAGATCATCGATTTTATTGTTCAGCATGAATTTTTTTTTACCTAAATTTCTCATTGACATTCAATACTCAATACTGATAGTGCTTAAATAAAGAGATTTTCTTCAAAACACATTTTCATATTTATCATAAGAGAACTTCAAATAAGACGTAATAATAGCCGTAAAATACAGGCATACAGGATATTATCTTCATCCTTCATCCATTTTACGCATACATTGTCTGTACACTCAAAATTCTCGTAGTTGCTTTTCTTAACGTATAGATTAGTATAATTATTTACGTTATCAGAAATAGACATATGAATATGCATTATGTTTTTCACTCCTCTTACTATCGAAATATTATCAGCTAAAAGGAGGTGTACGTCACAGCATATTGGGAAAATATATTTTAATTCCAAATGTCTGCACAGTGTATGTCTTTGTTCCGTCTAACTGCACACCTTTACGTTGATTTATGAACTTAAATTAAAAAACGGAAGTTATATAAAATGAAGACAAGGAAGTCATTAAAAAAGGAACGATTATTTTTAGAATTATTTATATCGGATAATTGTAATTATGATTAATAACTACATATCGAGGACGATTATATTTTATATTTAGACTAGTCACGTGATGCTACCAACACATTGCTTTGCATGGAAGTCATTAGAAAAATAGTCTATAGTTCTTCATTTATTACAAAACTTATATTACATAATCACAAATAAATAATTTACTTAAAGAGCATTTTGTACATAAGTAATATGCAGGATTAAAAATTCGCTTTATTCTAATAAATACCAAAGGTTAGAATGAAAAAAAAAACAAGTAAATATGTTGAAAAATGCATGATCATTTAAAAAAAAATATGAATATAAATCTATACAGGAATCAAATTACACCTAAATCGATACATAATTTCAAATGGAGTCACAGATGCAACGCTAATCATATGCAAAGACACGAAAGCAATTAACGGGATTTAATTAAGATAAAATGATTTTCAATTAAATAAATAATATTGACAGAAAAACACACACAGCACTAACATCCTGATAAAATATTTGACAGATGTCAGCATGTGTTGATATACTTGTGTCTCTCAATAATGGCCTAAAAATTTTACTCTTTTCCACTACTCGACCCCCAAAAGTATTTTTGGAGCTTCACACGTGTTACAATCCACTGCCATTAAACACAAAACAATTTTTTTTTTTCATAAACGTACAGAAATAAAAGATAGATTTCACGACGTTATAGTTGAACTTGTGGTACATACAGTGGGTATAAATGACAACGTGAACGTTCCTTTTTTAGAGAAAAATAGAATGTTTTCGTATGATATCTAGGTTAAGACAAAAACAACTTATTTTCAACAAATCAATGATTGTTTTCTTAGAAGAAGGAAAAAACCTTTACTTACCTCACGTATGTGTGAATGAAGGATATTAACATATAGACTTAATTTTAAATTCCAGCTTACGAAAACAACATTACATTACAAAATAATATCAAGAGAATATTATGATACAGCAAAATCTACAAACATACAATACAATTGAACAATGAAAAAAATCATAAACATGCAAATGTCTGATAAAAAGATCAAAAAGAAAAAAAAAACATTTTATAAAAGTCACTATTCGAAAGCTCATTCGTATGACCTGAGACAGTGTGATATCACAGACATTAAAGGATATATGTTGCCCGGTTTGAATGACATAAAAATTATACATGGGTCCACATTTGAAAGGAGGTCCCTTGATTACATTATTTAATGGATCATGATTCAGTAAAAACATTAGACATCAGCACATTTATAACTTAAGGAATCAAATTACACCTTCGATACATAATTTCAAATGATGTTCATACAATTTAATTAAGACAATTAAATAAATAATATTGACAGAAAAACACACACAGCACTAATCTTGTCCACCAGCTAGTAATACTTTTCTTCTTTTTCATCTTTAGACAGAATTAACAGCAGACTGACTCAGCCCTCCGTAACTTTTTTCAACAAATCAATGATTGTTTTACACAGGTGTGAATGAACGATATTAACTGGTTTTTATCATCCAACATACATTACAAATTAATATCTACCAAAATGCTCAAGTTTTGTAGAATTTTCATATAATTCCCACACATGTGAGAAAAATCCATCATGTCTTTTCGTGTGAATTTGTTCTAATGAATACAATTTTGCAATTCAAATATCTAACAAGGGACAACTTTCGATCATGATAATCTGGTTACGCATTTTGAGACTGGTTACAAATTTTAAGATCCGCTCCTTGTTCTTTTAATGGTCTCGTTCCTCCGGGGGTCTGTAGGGAACCCCTAGGTGTCTGAACACCGACTCCTCTGTAGGGGTGGGGAGAGGCGTCCCCTCAAACACTTTTTCATTGCCCTGAAAAAAAAAATCTTTTTTTCATTTAGTACAGGAGATAGAAAAAATCTTTCATATAAAGCAATATGAACAGCAATTTTGAAAATTTTTATTTTGATATTAAAATGTGTCATTGTAATTAATTTTGTAAGTAATTTAACCTTTATGATCAATTATAAAATAAAGTATAAAATTGTTTAAAAATAAAGACCTCTGTGCAATCAAATATTTAGTGTTGCCTAAGAAAAAAATTTTGTACAGGACGGCAATAATGCAATTTTTCACCATTAAGAGCTTGAAAATATGAACTACAGAAGTTTATAAATGTACCTTTTTTCCCAGAAAAAGTTCAGAATATATTTGCAACATAAAATCTTGAGATGAAAGTTGCAGCTCACATTGCTTTTAAAACAGGAAACAAAAATTTCTGAATAAATGAAGGATATGGAGATAACGAACAGTATTCAATCTCAAGTCCTTAAAACAATACAAATTAGGAGCAGAGCAAACACGGACCTCCGAAACATCAGAGGTGGGATCAGGTGCCACGGAGGAGTAAGCTTCCCCTGCTGACCGGTCACATCCGCCGTGTGCTCCTTGTCATGATCATGAAATAACAGAAAAATCCGGCGTCAATTTAGTGTATATATAATGGACTAACAATAAGTATGAAAAATGTCAGTCAGCATTTGACTCAATGATAAATTGTATTTGCTGAAAAGCAAATGTAAGGATTCTCAATTGACTAAACATGAAGACTATGCGATTGAAAAAAAACTTAGTAGGACAGTAAGACGCAGAAAAAAAAATAGGAGCATGAGACGTAGAAAACCATCAGAAGTAAATCACTATCAATTATATGGGGACAGATTTATTGTAAAATTAAAACCCCAGTAATATCGAAATCAACGTCCTGAGTTACTACGTATATGAAGAATTTTACATAATAATACTTATTTCAAGCTATGAATTATAAGCAAAATTGATTATATTTGTTCAATATAAGCTGTAATTAATTGTACTTGTAATTATACAAATGCGTTTGTACATGTAGTTATACAAATGTACTTATATGTAAAAAAAAATCACTATACGCATATGTAATATTCAAAAAGATCCTGATTTGGAACAATCCCTCTATTATTATTCCTCTTGTTAAACAGACATGTTTTCAGAGTAGGAAAGTCTCAGAAACATCAGAAGAATACATAAAGAATGCATGAACTGTAAAAGAATGTCTAATCCCAAACCAGAAAAAATGGAACCACTGTCACTTCAAGATTCAAAATAAAAATTACAGTCGTGAGAATGATAAACAACAATGCTTGTGCCCAATGTAACTTCAGTACATGTAGTTAAAATTATGTTTTCACTTACAATTCTTTGTACATGTATTGTTAGGGGACTATAGTATGTATAGAATTTGCTTGCCTGTAGCTTTCGAAATAAAAAAAAATATGTACATTGTAGGAGACCCGACCTTCACACTTTTTTAAAGAACAAGAATAATTAAATTTCAGTATATTACATCAAGGCCGTCATAAAGCACAGCATGTATATTTCACAATTATTATGTAAATGCAGAAATATCGCATTCTGCCTGGAGTCTTATGTAACGAGATGAGGAAGAAAAATTACTTATGTACGTCATTATACAGAATTCTGAGCGCAGATTGACAGAGGGGGGCTCGTTAGGCTTTGGCACATACTGATGTAAACTGATAACATCACAGTTTGTCGGATAATTATGTTGTTATAAAATTACAACAAAAACCCCCTATATTTGTTTAAACTTCCACTAAGGTAGTGAACGGGAGAGGAAATCACTTACATGTGCAGATATCCTGTCATCCTCTCAAAAATATGCAACTTTCATCGACTGCCAATCAAAATATTTATAAATCAGTAAATGGATTGCTTAAAGCCAAAGGCATTAATTAGAAAAATCACCTCTCTTTTCTCTTTCATTAAAGTGCACGCGTTCTTGATAGTGATCTGCACTGAGAAAATTTATTCTCTCGACGACTCCCGAATGACCTCAGTCTAGCACCTTGACCTTTCAGCAAAGGTCACAACACTTGATTGAAAATCAATTAACCTGTCGCAGTTCGTTGATTAGTATATGCAACTAGTGGTTTTCAGAACTGTGATGTTTCCGCAATAAATCACTGTCACCGCTTACCATTACGCCTATCTTATGGTGACAAGTAATTATGTAATCCTTTCTTTACAACTGCATAATGACGAGCAGCACTGCTGGGGAATTAATGATCATTTTTAATAAGATTGCCAAAAAAGCTAACATGATAGAATACCCTCGGTTTTTCTATCCTGCAACTAATGGCTTGTATGTCAACTCCAGAATTTACGTGCTAGCAGATGTAGACTCAAGTGTTTGAAAAATTGCCTTTGCGGTTGTCGGCTGCATATATGAAACACAGTTTGACAATATCGTGCATTTTCCATTTCATGTCTTGTGATACATGAAACATTTATTGGTGCAATATTGCGATATTCCCTACTTCCATAACAGTAAACGTAATATAAATACAAAAGACCAGAATATTTGTACATTGTTTATTTGAAAGATAATGCAGAAAAAACGTCTTGTAATGATGAAATGTCTAGTTCTTTGAACAAGGCCATAAAATAGCCTAGGCTACTTTGCAAATATAGGCACCTTAAGTTGCCTGCATCATGTAAAGAGTAATTATTCTGCAGACGTACAATGTATATAACCCTTGCTACACAAAAATAGTCCGCTTTACATATGCAATATGCATTGCAGGACAGGTTAGTTCTACACAATATTACAATCTGCATTTATGCAATACAGGATAGTCCTCAATATATCGTATATTCTGCATTATATTTGAAGAAAACAATTGGTATTGAAGCTCAAAGTCCACTTAGAACATACAGATTGGTAGCAGAGCAAAAAAAGCCCCCCCCCCCAAAAAAAAAAAAAACATCAAAGGTAGAATCAGGTGCCATGGAGGAGTGAGCATCCCCCTGCCGACCTGTGTCACACCCGCCGTGTGCTCCTTGTCATGATCGGGAAAAAAAACGGGAAAATAGACAATTAAGTTTGTAAACATTGACCTAAAAATCGGTTTATGGAAAACGTCTGTCAGCATTTTCATTAAAGATAAATTGCATTATCTGACAACGTCTTTGTATCACTCATAAAATCTGCGAAATGATGATTTCAAACGCAACTGTCGATATCAATGTTTCATCAATTTATTTTGTTAATATCTTGCCTCGTTTTTGAAATGTTTATACCTAGAGCATGCTTTTGCGTATCGAATCAACTGAGAAATATAAATTAAGTTAACCTCATATGCAGGCGATAAGGATATATTGCTGCATTGAACAAGGGAAGTTGACGATTGAGTAAGAAGTCTAATCATCACGTTTACCATAAAGCATTTACGTTTACGTAAAACATCCAAATAATAAAGTGTCAGACTATTTGGTATCTTTTATTTCAAGCTTAAGCTCCCTGAGATATACCGAGTGGACATAGGAATGTTAATTTAATTTTAATTTTAATGTTAATTGTTAATAAAATATTTACTTACAGTCACCCTCCCTGTATATATATTGCATGCTGCATTTAAACAACATGTTCATATAAAGTCAAAGAGCTGTTGGATTGTATAATACATCTACACTTCAGTTTATTTAATTTTATAAATCATATAAAGTAGATATATTATATTACACGCTTTTTTTTAATCCACAGATTCCCAATAAAACAAAGTTTTGTGTTATTTCGAAGGTTGCATTTACAAGACAGGATTATACTAAGTTTCATTATATAAAGCTCTATTTTCTTAGCGGATTAATATAAATACAAAGATCTGCTATATTGTACGCTAGATTTGCAAGACATGTCAATAAAGAGACAGGCCTTCTGTTATACAAAACGAAGAGTGCAGATCTAAACGACTAACGCCATGTCACTTAATCCCATTATGTATATTAGACATAACAAAAGAACAGAATAAGTCTCAACTATTGTTATTCAGTTGTTATAGCATTTGTTATCTAGTCGATAGTATTATGTATAATATGTCTGAGCAACAGAAAGAAATTTAACGAATTGGAAGCAATATTATAATAGCAAAACTGATTCTTTTAAGTTGATGATCAGTATGGTAAAAAAGATAATTCAGTAATTGAGAATTCAATGAAATTTCAATAGGTAAAAAAAACCAAATTGATGGCATTAAATGCTGTTTGCATGTCATTGGTGATAAAAGAACATAATTTATGTCTTCATAATTCAAAAATATATTGCTGCTCTGGAAATACTAAATCTTTGCATCCAATGCATAAAATATCTTTAAATTTAGATAAAAATGGCAGATATGAAACAAAAGGAAGCTAATGGAGGGTAGTATAGAGAAATCTGATATGACAAGAATTTTTTTTTATCGGAGAAATAGGATATTGGATTGCAAAAGGTAAAGACCCTGGGAGATAGTAAAATAGGGATTAAATTAAATGTCGGTTTTCACAGTAAAATATTGCAGTCACTGTATTACACTGGCAAACAGCTATATGTGGACTTTAAAATTAAAGCTATGGCTCAGGAAAAAATCAAGTTAGCTACTCAACTTTTCTGTACCTCCTTGCACAGGGCATGGTAATGTTGCATATGCTTTGTTTTTGGTTTATACAACTTTTATTCTTTTCAAAAATTACAACAATATTCAGTCATACCTTTCTGATGACTCCGGTGTTAAGGGAATGTTCAGACAGGGACATCCCTGATTTCTTTGCCAATAACCTTAAGGATCTGTTTAAATGAGCTGATCCCGTGAAGTATACCAAGGCGCATGCGTACTCGTCATATGGCACAACAATGATATCAATTCTACGATGCTGTAAAAGAAAAATATATATCATGCTATTTCTGAATAATTTCTGAGCAAAGTTATTATGAATTGTTAAAATGTTGGTTAGCCACTAGTAAAAATTAATATTGTGGGTCATCTGTAAACTATGTGCACTAAAAGAGCGACTGTTCATGGAAATCATGTTTTTCGTATTCAGTATCAGATATTTGTTATGTTTACAAAAGTTCCCCAAGAGAATTCAGGGATTTTTTTTTCCCAAATTTTAGACATGGGCGGGCCGGGAAGCTAAACAAACCAGGAAGACAGTGACTCACGCCGAAATTACATTTCAAGCACGCATATCAACTGATCAATGAACAGGTCTAGAGTGGAATAGCAATGAACTGTCAATAATTTATGGGATTTCGAGCACGACTTCTCAATCATTATTCTTGAGAGGTGAAAAGCAAGACAAGGTTTTAATTTAATCCTGTCAAAATCATCATTACTTCACGGATAAATCTCATTAGCTCATCTTAAATCAGTACTAAGCTGCATTAATTGTTTTAAGAAGTTAAAGTATAGCTATGTAAATCCATATCTACGATGTCTTTAAACTTACTTGGAGGTTAATATATTTTTTTTACAGCTAAGCTGAGAAATAATAAAAGTATGCTCAACCTGACATTCAACATCGGAGTATTTATGGACTGGGGTTTTCCAAAGGAGTCGAAAGACATCAAGAAACTAACTTTTTTGTTTTTCTCTGACAGGGGACTTAATAGCTTTAAATACACACTTTTTGGTTTTAACCTACATTTGGTTTCCCCCTGGTAGACTAAATAACAATCAAGAACACTTAAGATATTAGCTTTTTTGGTTATCTCTGTATACTTACTTTCTGGTTTTCCCCTGGTAGGCGACAGACTCCTAGATACTTTTTCTGACTTCCATTATCCTCTGCTGACACAAGGTCATCCGTCAAGAACCCTGCATGTACAAAATAAGGCATCATGATAGAAGGAGTGGGGATACATGTTCCAATTTAAAATTTGGAATAAAAGCACTGGTAATGTTGTACTTGATTTTTGTTTTCGTATGTGCTTGATATGTCATATACTAGTACCTGACACAATATAATTATATGCGCATTCAATATTATCAACCTGTGACATCTCCCCATGCCCAAAAAATCTAATGATCAAAATTAAACACACTTTTTGTAATCCTTCTGCAATAAATAATAAACTCTGATAATTTTTTTCTCTGTAAATATAATTTACAGAATATTCTCATAAAAATCAAATACTCAATATTTGATTTCATTATATTTAATACAGCTTAGACATTTATTGTAGAAATTGAAAAAAAAGATATTCAAATGCAGTACAAATTTAGGATATTTTATTGTAAGTCCCGCTGTACTTCAGAACTTATATAACATAACTTTTTGTGTAATAAGCATGCTAAAGCCCAGGAATAACGTACTAGTAATAATACATTATAAGGTGACATATATCATACAATTTTTTCGATCTGCACTGCAATACTGCAGTATACCATTGACTTGACTTAATTACCGGCACGTAAACCCACGATACCCGAAGTCTTGACGTCATTCAAACATATTACCCGCTTTTTAAAAAATTGATAAAATATTCTCTTTCATTTGTAAGCTTTCTGTAGCAGCATTTTTAAGGTAAGATAATTGTTTTATGACGTGAAACACAAACGATTAACCTAAATTTGCTAAACGTGGTTCTAATTGTCCAGAAAATGATACGCCTTATCTACAAGACTTGCCATATAATCTTAAGCTTACTTCCTCGCCAAAGTTATTGGAAAAGAAATGGGAGCAAAACATCAATTATGGTTTGTAAATCATATTATTGTTAAGTACTAGAATTGATTTTTTCCCCCTTTGTTTCGAAAAAATTAAAATTTTAGTAGAAAGGGTAGCAAGCAGATGATTTTCACAACGTGGATGTTTTATTGGGGTTTTTTTTCTCAAGGGTATTTTTCAAGAAGGACACCCACACGTTTTGTAAAGCACGCGATTTAATCTTGCTTGAGTTATATAAGCAATTACTGAAAAATAATTAACAAGAGGCCCATGGACCACATCGCTCACCTGAGAAGCTTTGACCATTCTGTTCTATACCAGATTTCCCCCTTGTTATACATAATGCATCCCCACCCTACCCAACTGATCATAATTTAGACATTTTGAAATTTACACTACCCCATGATCCTTCCATGGGCACATATGTTTCAGCTTTTTTGGCCCAGTGGTTCCTGAGAAGAAGATTTTCAAAGATTTTTCCTATATATCTTTCTATGTAAAACTTTGAATAATGGCCCCACCCTTCCCCCGCATGATTTGAACAATTTAGAATCTACATTATACCAATGCTTCCACATAAGTTTCAGCTTTTCTGGCCCAGTGGTTCTTGATTTTCAAAGAATTTTCCTATATATTTCTATATAAAACAATTATCATTATACCAGGATGCTTCCACATAACAGTGGTTCTTGATTTTCAAAGATTTTTCCTATATATTTCTATGTAAAACTTTGATTCCCCATTGTGGCCCCGCCCTTCCCCCGGGGGTCATGATGTGAACAATTTAGAATCTACATTATACCAGGATGCTTCCACATAAGTTTCAGCTTTTCTGGCCCAGTGGTTCTTGAGAAGAAGATTTTTTAAAGATTTTTCCTATATATTTCTATGTAAAACTTTGATTCCCCATTGTGGCCCCGCCCTTCCCCCGGGGGTCATGATGTGAACAATTTAGAATTTATACCAGGATGCTTCCACATGAGTGGTTCTTGACAAAGATTTTTCCTATATATTTCTATATAAAACTTTGATTCCTTGTGGCCCCGCCCTTCCCCCCGGGGTCATTAAACAATTTAGAATCTACATTATACCAGGATGCTTCCACATAAGTTTCAGCTTTTCTGGCCCAGTGGTTCTTGAGAAGAAGATTTTCAAAGATTTTTCCTATATATTTCTATGTAAAACTTTGATTCCCCATTGTGGCCCCGCCCTTCCCCCGGGGGTCATGATGTGAACAATTTATCTACATTATACACATGAGCTTTTCTGGCCCAGTGGTTCTTGAGAAGAAGATTTTTTAAAGATTTTTCCTATATATTTCTATGTAAAACTTTTTCCTTCCAAAACAAAAAAAAATGCTTCCACATAAGTTTCAGCCTTTCTGGCCCAGTGGTTCTTGAGAAGAAGATTTTCAAAGATTTTTCCTATATATATTTCTATATAAAACTTTGGAAAAGAATTACAAATTGTTTTTCTTGATTATCTCCCCTTGCGAGGGGATATGTCCCTTCATTTTAACAATTTAAATTCCCCTTCAACCAAGGATGCTTTGTACCAAGTTTGGGCAAAATTGGCCCAGTGGTTCTTGAGAAGAAGTCGAAAATGTGAAAAGTTTACAGACAGACAGACGGACGGACAGACGGACAGACAGACGGACGGACGACGGACAAAATGTGATCAGAAAAGCTCACTTGAGCCTTCGGCTCAGGTGAGCTAAAAAGGAGTATTTTTATCGATATTAACAATTATGATTCACAAATCAAATGCAAAACAACATAAGAAACTTAGTATACATACACATGACTTTTGTGGAAAATTATGAAGTTAAATTGTTTTTCGTCGGTATCCATTCTTCCGATTATGTTCAGTCATGAATTACTTAATAAAATGCAAAAGAACATAAGAATGTCAGATGAAGTTAAATAAAACATACCCGGTAACTATGTTTCTAAACGGTTTCTCACTGACTTGGTTATGTTAATGGCTCTTCGTTTTGCAAACAATAATCAAACACTGATTAGATGCAGACAACACTTTTTGTAGGCCATTTTTCTCTTTATCTCATGTTACCTGTCAAAGTGTATGACACTTCATAATCACTAAGCGTGCAGGTAATAATTCATATCAAAGAACAAATCGCCAATAATTACCATCCATTAACATTTTGAATGAACGGATTACGCCCTTTTATCACACACCGACCTGTAGAGAGATCGAGTGTACAAAAGGTGAATGCATTAAATGGTTGAACTGATAATTATAGTTTATCAGTTCATTTGAAAATCCATAAATTGTCAAACTGAACAGAGAGTACATGTACATTTATCATTCAATATTGTTTTGTAAAACGTCATGCATTATATATATATATATATATATTTTTTGCTACAAGGCTGTTTTCTGTAAAGATTTGCACACCATTTAGCCATTTATCATTCAACGGTACTCTTTTATTAATAAGTACTTCATCAAATATTGATGCGTTGATTCTTTTATATAACGTTTTAAGATTGATTGTTTGAATGAGGTTTTATACCTATAATCGAGAATTTTTCAATCAGAAAGAGATGAAATCGTATACCGACGAAGCCCTTAAAATCATACTTTTACTAACTGTCAAGGCAAGTAAACAGTGAGAGATACTGGTATGCACAATGCCTAACGTGACATACGGCCTTTGTTTTAAGTTTTTATCAAAAAGACCCGTAACGTTCTTTTCAAATTCCCAAGCGTTTGACCAAGGGACACTTGCTATCTTCTTGTCAATTTGCGATCGGAGATTGAACCCTAGATCTTCCAATCACAGATCGAGTGCCCTGCCGACTGAGCTTCCATGACTAGAACCTGCATGCTAATAAAGAATATGACTCAAACATGTTTTTCTCTTTTATCATGTACTGATTTAAAGTAAATTTGTACCCACGAGTGCGAACATAAAACAAAACATGTCTAATTGTATGTAAATTAACAAATTCCTTGTTTGTCCTTGGCATTCATAAATGCTAAAGTACTTGAAGACTGATAAACAAGTACAATAATTCCATGGATTGTACTGATCATGAAATTCAGTGAATCAATCTAGATCCAATAATTGAATAAAAACTGACTTTTTTGTGACTAAAAATCGAAACATAATGGATCTAGCAACCAAAATGTTCGTCCAACGTCATTTACTACGTCTTTACCTTAAAAACTGTTTCTACGTAGAGCATGCTCTTGCAAATCAAATCAACTGATGTTTTGGAGGTCAGTGTTTGCTCTGCTACTATTTTGTATTGTTTTATGGAGTTTTGATCTTAAATATTGTTCGTTATCTCCAAATATAAATTCACTGCGGATGATGAAGGTACATGTATATTGCTTCATAATGACGGGACTGACAAAACGACTAGACAAATGGAAGCTTACTCCTCCTCGGCACCCAATCCAACCTCTGTTCCTGTTTTTTCCTGTTCAGCAGTTGGTTTGTTTTTGGAAGTTTTAAGAAAAAAAAAAAAATTTTATTATCCATTCCCTTTACATTATAAGGGATATGAACTGTGTGTAGATCTTACAAAGAATGAAGACTAATCGAACTATTAGCCACTGAGTTTTGCTAACTTAAATTTGATCATGAGAAAATTCTCCCACACGATAATAAAATTCTAGACGTCAATCCCTTTTTATTTCCCGTTTAAAGTTATATATTCTTAGTTACTACAAAACGTAGAATGAATTTATCTAAAATCCAGATGGCAAGATCAAGATTTATTGAATAATGTAATGCAAACATTTATCACACAAAACACTTTAATGTTCATTTTAGAACATTCAGGAAAAGTGCATTTCTAGAAGTGAAAAGGACATGACTTGTTTCTATGAAAGCGCTGGCTTTTTAAAAAAAATATCAAATGTTCGAATTTCATGACAGTGCTGGCTTTTTTAAAATTACAAATCTTCGAAATGCCATATTTTACAGTAATGCTCGCAGATATCATTGATCTTGCAAACACCAGTAACTGCAGAGTACTCCGTAAACACGGAATTGGTCTTTAGCGGGATCTTTCATACTAAGCTTATTGGTAAACTGGTAAGCAATTAAACATTAAAAAGACATCACAAAAATCAAAACACAAAGTTTAAAAGACTAAAATTGTTTGCCCAGAGAAAATGCTAATACTTTAACTGTT